AATCATGTACATGCTTTTTATGTCCTTTATAAGCCCATGTGCACTATCTAGAACTCAAGGTATATGAGTACTATGAGGTTGTGCACACATATGTTGTCACCACAGCTCGTATGAAATCCACTAAGTGGCATATGAGATATGTGTCCCAAATGACATATCCATATGTTCTGAAGAACATAGATAATTATCCATGTGTCCCAAAGGATATAGGTAAACTGTCCATATGTCTCGAAAGACATAGGTAACCCTCGACTCTTGGCATGTCAACTATACCTATAGCTCTCAAATCACATAACATGGGCATTCTCTTTCATATCATTTCACTTATTCACATGTGTTTTTCACTTTTCATATGATTGCATAATCATATATCACGTAGCTTATAACACTTCTGTTGTGTTCCTATGACATATATATCAAATAATTCCTTAGCTTATAACTTATGTCACCTGTTCATTTCATTCATTATGTCCTTATCTTATAACTTATTTCATGTGCTTATATGTTCTTATCTTATAACGTATATTACCTATGCATGTAGCCTTATGACTTATTATTAAGTAACTCAATTAATATTCTTGTATGGTTTCACATATTATTATCCTATAATACATATCTCATTTTCATATCATATCACATACCCTATTCGCAAATATACACTTAAATCAAATAGCATATAACATATCATATAAACATATATATATATTAATGCATGTATATGTACATAGTAATTATCTCATATGCATGTCCATAATTACCCTACCATGAAAAACTAATATAAAAAATAAACTTATCACAAGTCTTATTTCCATTGGATTAGATCTATAGTATGGACTCACCTATATTTCCTTGTCTTTCCCTCAATCGATCCTACTTGTCAATTGTTCTGGAACTTGTTTAGGCTCAGTATCTATATAAATATAATTTCCAAGACGATTATCAGAAGCATAGACCTTATAATTCGATGCTAATAACTGAAGCTAATTTAATGAACCAAAATTCATTTTCCCCTTTAGGAGGGTATCAGTACACTACGAATATATCGATACCCAAATTACTTTCGAAATTTACAGGTATTGCTACATGCATGTGTGTATCGATACATAGGTTTCGGTACACTCTTTAATGTATCGATACACCATGAAGATATTCTTCAAAATTGGTCTTAGTGTATTGGTACCTATTCATAGTGTACCGATACACCCTGCTTAGAACAGACTTTTCACCCGAAAATTCAACAACTCTTCATTAAATTTCATCATATAAAGTCCTTTTATACTACCAAACTCAACTATAAACACTTTAAATAATGTCTATCATTTCCATATCTTATTATCTCTCATATCTCATCCAAATTCTTAAAACCAAGAATCTTACTAATTTTTTCATGCAATCCAAACTCAGTTTCAACACTTGTTATTTCTTATTTACCCTTATGGCAAGTTGAATTCAGCTCCTAAACTCATTTGAACCTTCTTATTCTAATTTTCACTCAAACACTTCATATTTGAAATCATCTATAACTCAAAACTCTTTGAGTTTTTAAGTCCCTTTTTATCTCCATCATCTTTCCTAAAGCTTCATTAACCAAACCTCACTTAAATCTTAACGATTAACCAAAAGAAATCCAACTCACCTTGGCTTGGGGTGCTTCACAGTTGAAGAAGGAAAGGTTGAAGAAGAAATGTCTAAAAACATTTGTTTCCTACACATGCCCCACGTAGGTTATAAAATACCCACAACAATTATTTAATTAATTCCCTTGCTCAATAACCCATTTGTCCCTTTAATCTTCATTCTCTTGCTAAATCATCATACACAATATATTTCAATTAAGTCCTAGAACTTTTTAATTTATTTAATTTGGTCATTAAATTTTAAAATCTCTCAATTTGGTCACTAACCCGATATTGAGGATGTTATAAGACACCACTTAACTATTTAATTTGTTCAATCAGACCACTTATCATTAATATTTGACGGAAGTAATGACGTGACAGTTAAAAGAATTGGTATATTTATACATTTAGTGCTTAATATTTACACATTCTCTAAAATTAGTCCTAATTTAAATTCAATTTAATAAAAGTAACCATTTAACCAGGATCTGACACATGTCAACACATGATCATGACATGTGTCGTTAGTGACACATGTCAATACATGATTGGAATATATTTTTATTAATTTTAATTTATTTAATAAAAAGAAATTAAAATTAAAACCTAGACAAATTATACAAAAATAAAACACATAAAAATCTAATGATTTCATTTTATATATTTTAAAATTAAATATTTTATAATATTTTTATATTTTAAAATTTACATGTATCATCACCTAATTGGTTTTAAAATATAAAAATCTTAAGTTTAAAAATATTTAATTTCAAAATATAAAAACACACATAAAAATCTAATAATTTCATTTTTATATTATGAAATTAAAATATTAAAAAAATAAAAATATATTAGAATCATGCATTGACACGTGTCACTAACGACACGTGTCATGATCATGTGTTGACATATGTCAGATCCTGATTGAATGGTTAATTTATTAAATTAAATATAAGTAATGACAAAATTTAGAGAATGTGTAAATATTAAGGACTAAATGTATAAATATACCAATTCTTTTAACTATAAGGCCATCACTTCCGTCAAATATTAATGACAAGTGGTCTAATTGAATAAATTAAATAGTTAAGTGGTGTCCTACACCAGATTAAAAGATCGATGACAAAAGTATATGAAATTAAAATATTAAAAAAATAAAAATATATTACAATCATGTATTGACACGTGTCAGATCCTGATTGAATGATTAATTTATTAAATTAAATATAAGTAATGACAAAATTGAGAGAATGTGTAAATATTAAGGACTAAATGTATAAATATACCAATTCTTTTAACTACTAGGCCATCACTTCCGTCAAATACTAATGACAAGTGGTCTAATTGAACAAATTAAATAGTTAAGTGGTGTCCTACACCAGATTAAAAGATCGATGACAAAAGTAAAAGAGTTAAATATTTAAGTGATCAACTGTATAGTTTACCCTAAAATATAAATACATAAAAAAATAAATAAAATAAAGATTCTCTAATTTCAATTAAGAATTCATTAGAAGTGTAGTACAACAAAAAAAAATTAGAACTGGTGCTATTATTTTGTACTATATATAACTTTTGATTCACTATAATGAAATTATTTTACTTTATATTAATTTTAATATATAAAAATATACAAATATTGTACCTACATAAATCTTATAAATATAATTCACAAAATTCTCGTACTTTTGCATAATTTTTAAAATAAAATAATTAAAAATATAAAATTATTAAGAATTTAAGTTAACTTTTTATAAATATATTGAATAGCTTATAAATATATTTTTAACATAAAATATTTTTCCCATACATCAATAAACGGAACATGATATAATTAATAAATTAAATTTTATTAAAATTATTTATTATATTTTAAATTTGTCATTTTTCGTAAAAATAATTTATGGTAATATGAGCTAAATGTTAACCTGCTGACTGTGATATGATAAAATCTAATCTTAAAATCTCAATCATATTTCAGTCATCATGCTACCGTCCAACTTTTAACGACTGTCAATCTTTAAACAAAAAAATAATAATTTTAAATCATAATGAATAGTCGAGTGATTATTTTGTAACTTTTAATATTCGAAATACTTAATAAAATAACATTTTATAGTTAAATGATCTTATAAATTTAATAATCAAATAATTTAATAAAATAATATCATATAATCGTGAGATAATTTATATACTTTATCTTTATATTTCATGTAAATCTAATTTTAAAAATTAAAAAAAAAAGGTTGTTGCTCGTTTTTAGTACAACTAATAGTACTGTTCTTTGGAGAGACCCACCATAATTACGGTGGGGTTCGTTTTATGTTAACGCGCTAATGCACGAGCGTGGGGCTTCCCTTTATTTATTACCATTTGAATATGGACACCAGAATTTGTGGGACTTTTGCTGTTTTTTTTAATGATTTATTATTATTAGTCCCCGAATAAGATTGTTGCTCTTTTCTTCTTTGTCGCCCCCACTTCTTTCCCAAATCACGAAATTGCCATTTCCTCTCTTATATTTCACCATTTAATCATTATAATAGCTTCTAATAAGATGAAACATTATATATTATTTAAATAAAGTTATGAGTTTGAATTTTAATATTGTGAATGAAATAATTTAGGTTAAAAGGATCGTCCCACGATGAATATCTGCAATACTCCATTTTAATTAATTAACCAATAAATGGCTTAAAGGTCACTTTTACCCTTGTATTAGACTTAATTTATCACTTTTGCTCGTATCGTATTTTCGCATTAATTTAACACTAGAAGTTGTGCAGTTCCATCATTCTATATCATCTTCCTAACTTAAAACCCTAATTTATAAACTATAAGCTAGTGTTAAGGGTTCAAGGTGTATGGTTTAGAGGTAACGAGTTATGATTTAGGGTTTTAAGTAATGGATAAGGTATAGAATGTTGCAATCAAACAATTTCGAGGGCTAAATTGATGTGAAAAATACGATATTGACAAAAGTGATAAATTGAATTTACTATAGGGGCAAAAATTATCCTTTTTGCCATAAATCAAATGCCGATGTAATTTACGAGAAAAATATTATTTAATGTGTTAATGATGAATTTTGCATATATAATTTTAATTTATAATTATGTATTTTATTTGTTTTTATTTAAATATAAATAACATTTAAAATACACTATAATAAATAAATGTGAATTGATTTATTAAATAATTGTAATTATCTTAATGTGAATTAATGTTGTATTAAACCTATTTTTTTCAAAAATAAAAATGAGCCCAGATGAAGGGCAAACATGTAAATATGAATAAATTGGGATGCAGGTATTTTGAGCCAATAGATTCACTAGCACGGATTCTTGAAAACCTGCAGAATTATTATTCTCACAACAAAGAACAAAGCTTTGAGCTTTCCCCCAACTATAAAATCAACCCACCCACCATTCATGCATCCACCTGCCAACAAAGAACCCTAAAGCTCGAAGCTTTCTTCCCCATAAAGAAAAAGAAAACACAAAAAATGGACTCATCTGGACGTTCAAGGAGGCATTGTTTCATTGAGCAAGATCAAGGCTTGGCTTCTATTGCAATAATGGAGGCTGGATATTCGGGCACCCGTTACCAAACCGGGATTCAAAATGGGTTTTTTCAAAGACCTCTTTGTTACACAAGGAGAGCCAGTTTAAGGAATCTATCTTCTTCTTCTTCTTTATGTTTATCACCAAGATTTGAGGATCAAGTCCGTCAACCCCATTTCTTGGATTCCTGTTTCCTTTGCAGGAAGCCTCTTGGGGGCAACAAAGACATCTTCATGTACAGGTCAGTGTTGAAAAAGATCTGATGAATCTTTTGTTGCTTTTTGTCTCCTGATTTGGGGGTTTCAAATTGGTATTTTGATTTGGTTTCTGATTGGGGTTTTTGTTGTTGTTGTTGCAGAGGGGATACTGCTTTTTGCAGTGAAGAGTGTAGACAAGAGCAAATAGACATTGATGAGGCTAAGGAGAAAAGCAATAGCCTTTGTTCCTCCGTGAAAGCTCCGAGGAAGAAGGATCAAAGGAAAGCTACAACTTCTGCAAAAACCCAGAGCTATCCTTTTCGACCAGGCACTGTTGCAGCTGCGTAAATATAATCGTTTCACAAACGAAATAGAGAGAGAGAGAGAGAGAGAGAGAGAGAGAGAGAGGAAAAACATATAACTACCCTTTTGTATAAACTGTTGGAAAAAGGACAAAGGAGGAGGGCCAAGGAGAGAGGATGAAGAAGAAAGCATGTTTGAGACTCGACTGTGAATGTTATGTGGATTTGCTCTGTGATATGGCTCTTTTTTTGGGGTGTTTTTGGTGGGATAATTTTGTTAACAAGTTCCTATGAATGAAATGAAGTTCTTATGGGTTCTTCATGGGCTATTTTTGTACTAATTTTCTTCTTGCTGATATTTTCATTTACCATGAATGATGAAAGAGAGATGAACATGAATGGAACTTGCTGGAAATTGGAAAATCCGTCTTTTTTCTGGGTTGATTTATGGTATTCATTGTTGTTGCACTTGGTTCCTTCACCCTTTAATAAGGTACAAAGAGAAGTAAAGGTTGGAATTTTAGGTGGGAAAGGAGGCTGGAATTTGTGGCCATTGCCAGTGCTGCAAACACACCAGCTCCCACTTGGGAAACAATGACAATTTTCAAGTATGAGGCTTTCATCATCGTCAGTTCTACACACTACTGTACTGTTTGATGGTTCACACTTCCCAGACAGCTGCATAACATAAATGCTTAATATAAAAATAAGTATTTAGAGAATACTTTTAAAATTATTTTACTACATAAATTTCTTTTTTGTTAAAAATAAATATAAAATTTATTTTATTATATTTTTAGGTGTTTATCGTTACAAATTATTAAATGACATATGTTTTATTTATATATTTTAAAAAATTTAGACGTGACATGTAATCCATTAAAATAATGTCATTAGACTATATGTTATAGGTTAGTAGTAGATTTTACCATACATTCATTTTTTTCCCCAGTAAATATGTATAAATATAAGATAGTAAATTATATCAGATATTTATGTTTTTCAATAAATTTGTATGAATATAAGTTAGTAAATTATATTAGATATTCATGTTTTTTTTAATAAATCTGTATGAATATAAGATAATATGTGTTTAAATTTTTTTAATTATTTTAAAAAATATATCTTGATTTGTATATATGTAATGTTGAAATTTAAAATTTCAAAAGATATTAATAAATGTATTAACCATCTAGATAATTTAATTTGTGTATACTTCGAAAAAAAATCCAGAGATAATTAGGGATGGGTATGGATCGGGTTGGGTCGGGTTTTTGGTCCATCCGACCCGACTCGAGAACAAGAGAGCCTCTACCCGAGACCCGACCTTATCAAAACAAGGTTTCACCCGACCAACCCGACCCAAATATATGACATAGAAATCCGACCCGATCCGAAATAATAAAAAATTATTTTTATTCAATAAAAATAGTAACTTAATTGAATAAAATTATATATAGAGGGATATAATTGTAATTATCCCTAAATATATATGGTAAAATTATATATATTTTCGGGACGGGTCGGTCGGATTTTTTTCACCCAAAATCCGAACCCGACCCAAACACCACATAAAAAAACCAGACCAAACCCGATTTTTTAAAGAAAAATCCGACTCGATCGGGTCGGATTTAAATGCCCATCCCTATATAATATGCAATGGTGAGCATTAGCAGTACCCGTATGACCGACGCTATAACTTGGTCTATTCTTATAAGGGTAAATTACACAATGGTCATTCGATTATATGATATTATTTTATTTAGTCTTTTGACAATTAAAAGTTATAAAATAGCCTCTAACTAAATGGAATCTCTGTTGAGTCTCTTGACTATTAAAAGTTACAAAATGGTCACCCAAATATTCATTATATTCCAAACTTGTTCCGTTACATTAAAAAAATGACGGCAATTTATACGTTAACTTATTGATTGAGATATGATAAAATTTGATCTCATAATCTCAATGACTATTATATCTCAGTCAACATGTTAACGTCTAGCTTAGACGACCGTTAATTTTTTAACAGAGAAAGATGAGTTTGGAACATAATGAATAGTCGAGTAACCATTTTGTAACTTTTCACAGTTAAGAGACTCACCGAAGCAACTCCTTATAGTTGAGGGACCATTTTATTATTTTTAAAAATTAAATAACTCAATAAAACAATATCATATAGTCGGGAGACCATTTATATACTTTACCCTTCTAAGAACCTATGACTTATAAGAACAATAACGATTCTTTTAACAACTAAGGTAAGTTGATTCAGGCAAGAAATGAAAAATCTTAAATGAAACTGAACTAATATTCAATATATATAATCTAATGCTCGAATCCAAATAACATAAGTTTCCATAACATCAGACGTTATAATAGCACCAACCTTGATGCCTTCTCCTATCTTAGATATGACACCAGTAAAGATGATGAATTTGGTACGACCCGTTAACTCATATAGGGTTAATTTATTATTTATTTATCATTAAAAATATTTTAAAATAATTATATTAATATGTAAGCAATTTTAAAGGTAAAGTACACAAATGGTCTCTCGACTATAGGGTATTGCTTTATTAATTCTCTTAGCTATTAAAAGCTACAAAACGATCCTCCGATTATAAAATGTTGCTTTGTTAAGTCCCCGATCATTAAAAATTACAAAAATAGTCACTCGACTATCCATTAAGTTCCAAACTCGTTCCTTCCCGTTAAAAAAATTGATAGTTTTCAAAGCTGAACGTTAACATGATGGCTGAGATATGATAGTTGTTTAAGATTCTGGGATCATATTTTATCATATCACGATTAGCAGGTTAACGCTCAACTCAAAATACTGTCAAATTTTTAACAAAAAATGACAAATATTAAACATAATAAATAGTCGGGTGACCATTTTGTAACTCTTAATAGTCTATGGACTCAACAAAGCATTACTATATAGTCGGAGGATTATTTTATTACTTTTAATAGTTGAGGGACTTATAATTAGGGGATCATTTATGTACTTTACCCTAGTTTTAATTAGTTAAATAAAAATAGCTTAATACAAAAATAAGTGCCTAAAGAATGTCTCGAAAAATGTTTTAATACCTAAAGAATTTTTCGTTAAGAATATGTACCTAAAGTTTTCTTTATTACATTTTAAGGTGACTATCGTTAAAAAAATCGTTAAGTGTCCTCACTTAACGATTTTTTAACGATAAATACCTAAAAGTGTAACAAAAAAAGTTGAGCACTAAAAAATTAATTTTAATTATAATTTAGACACTTTTTTATATTAAGCAAATAAAAATCTATTTTTGGAAATATGCGGATGGATAGTCCACGGCCCATGATTTGTTGTAGGTTAGTTTAGATCACTACCCGATTTACTTGACCCAGTCGCTTCCAGTTTCTATGAAAACTCGAACCAGAATACCCTAATTCCTCGTTGTAGGTTTCCTCTCGAAGAGCGGCTCCTCACCTTTTCCGAACCAGACACACACACAAATCGTCTCAACAATCCCACCATGGTATTCTCTTCTTTCTCGCTTTTGAATTTCGTTTCTTGTGTATTATCTATTTACGTGTTTGTTTCCTGAGAAAAATATTCATCCTAAAATTTCTGGTTAGTTGTGTTGCACCAATGTTGAAATAAGATATCATTCCGATCTGTAGCTGAATATCATTCGTGTTATGGCAATGTTAGCATTTGTTTTATTTTATTTTTGTGCAACGTAGAAGGAAAGAGAAATGGGATGGATGTTTGACAATCGTATTTCAGTTTTAGGGTTCAAAGTGTTAATGGGTTACTCATAAATTCGCCTTAGGGTCAATTTCGCTCCCCTTATACTAATTTCTGCATTTGTTTCAAATTAGAATGTGGACGCTAAAATGCTGAGTAGCAATTACGCATCTCTTAGGATTAGGGATTAAAATTGTGTTTGTGGTTGTGTTGCGATTATTGCGATTGTGGCAACAGCAGGTACTATTGCGGTCATTGCCGGTATTGTGGTTGTGCTTCGGATGGCACCTTTACCCCTTGTGATAGTGAACTGCTACTTAATTCCCTGCTTAGGATTGATTGGTTGGTTTGTATAGTTTCGTGATTTGATTCATGCTTTTATCAACGTGCAGACAAAGAGAACAAAGAAGGCTGGAATTGTTGGAAAATACGGTTTGTGTTGCTTTATTTTATGAAGTATTATTTTTCTTTGAGAATTTCTGCATAGAAAGGTTTGATATTGTATTTAAGATTGGTATTCGATAGCCATTTGAATGTAGTGGGAATAGTTGTCTTTCCAATTTTTATCTAAATTGCTTGAAGTTTTTAACCATTATAGTTTTACACTTAAAATGATTCTAGATTTAAATTTAATTTAATGTTTTCCCTCTTAATGAAGGTACCCGTTATGGTGCCAGTTTGAGGAAGCAAATTAAGAAGATGGAAGTGAGTCAACACAGCAAGTACTTCTGCGAGTTCTGTGGAAAGGTACGACACATTTGGTTATCTTCATGATCCTATTTCTGTGTTGCTAAGCTTGTGTTCATTTCTTTGCTTCTCTATTGCTGCACTTGTTTATATGATTTGCGTTATTTTTTTTAACTATCTTCTGCTGCTACAGTATGCAGTGAAGAGAAAGGCTGTCGGAATATGGGGCTGCAAGGATTGCGGCAAAGTTAAAGCCGGTGGTGCATATACTATGAAGTAAGTGTCTGCACTGTACCTCATTTCAATATCATTTCTTTGTATGTCCATGTAATTAACAAGGTACTTCGTTTGTTATTTTACAGCACCGCCAGTGCTGTTACTGTGAGGAGTACTATTAGGAGGTTGAGGGAGCAAACTGAGAGCTGAGCTTACAGTGACGGCATATTCAACTTCGGTATGATGTTTTTGCATGTTTTGGCCACAAACAAATTAAGAAACATTTTGTTGAAAGTAATGTGTTATGTGTGCTTAATTCTCAATTTTATATCTCGACTCATAACTCTGGTGTTGGAACTTTATTAAAATATTTGAATACTTTATTTCTTACTCATCTTGTTACTTTGTATCAAATTATGTTCTGCCAGCTCTGCGATTATAGTTATAGTAGAAAATCATAGAATTCACTGATAAACGAAGCCTATATACATATGCAATTGAAAGAAAGAGGAAAGAGGCACAGCTTAGATGGAAACATGGTTCCAAGTGGGAACCTTGCTGTTTTCATTTCAAAAATTAGGAAGAGAACTGAAGAAGAAAATGCCTAGATGGTGAGAAATTGTTTACCAAAACATCATTTTTTAAGCCTCCATACTAGGCAATTGCAGTCGGTATTTCATGATGATGCATCTGTTGTTGCACGGCTTTAACAGCCACCACTCTGGCAGCGTTGGCTGCTTTGTTTGCGGCTGACACAGCTTTATTCACTCTCTCATCGATCTTTGCAATGTCTCGAGCTTTCTCAGCAGCTCGTCTTGCTTCCTGTACACAGAACAGCAAATTGTAAGAAAAATCTTAGTGGTTCTTTGTGCTAGAAAAAACACAGAAGCTTTTATTACAAGGCACCTGAAACCTTAAGGTTGCTAGCATATTGTACATACGAATGATACCTGAACAGCATGAAGGACTCTGGACCGAGTGTTTTCTGTTTCTCCGCTAAGAACATCCAGAGCACCATTTTTCTGGTGATCGGATTGTGTCTCACCATTCTGAAAGTGTATGTTCCGAATCCCTGCCTTCTTCCTTCATGCCAGGCTCCCTTGTATCGATGCCCGTTTCCAAACTGATAAACACCAAAACCATGAATCTTGACGGAAAAATACTCCCCACAATATACGTCCCCATTCCTGCTTTTCGAAGTACAAAACTCAACAGTCATTGAGATATAAAAATATCAGCATTCTAAGCTTGGACATGTATATGATCAAATATTGTGAAACACAATGAAGAAATCACCTGAAATTGTATTGGCCAACCCCATGCTTGAGACCCCATCTGAACTCCCCTACATGCTCGCTACCATCCTCGTAACTATGAACTCCACATCCATGGCACTGCCCGTTAGACCACTCTCTGGCATAAACTTCGCCGGTATAAAACCTGTAAACTCGTGTTCCATTCTTCAATCCTTACCGATATTGACCTATATATCAGCTCCCTTTTGCCCATGTTTCGACACCATAACCATCATACTTCCCATCAATCCAATACCCTCATACCTCCCTTTCGTATGGTAGTAATACACTCCACTCCCTGAACATTTTCCCTTGTACATCCCCGTTACTGTAAACCTGTACCCAAGTTCCGGAATTCGCCTTCTTCTCGGATTTCAGCTTTGACCCAATCGACCAGAACAGCTTTCGAAGATATAGGAGATGAACCGAGTTGACTGGCCGGCAGAGAACGGGCAAGAAGTAATCGAATCGAAGGCAATCGAGGGAGTGCAAAGTTGAGAGAAACCAAAAGGGTGCGCAACAAAGCAAGCAAACCGACAAGATTCAAAGCGAGAAACCGCCATGGGTAAGAAACCAAGAAGTATAACGAAGGAAGAGAGAAGAAAACAAGAAAACGCAAGCGGAAGCAAAGCAAACGCCCACGGCTGAGATGATGAACAAGTTTCCTGGCAAGTTGTTGAGCATCGACAGGCTCGACCCTCTGGCGATGGCTCTTGAAAGAAGACAGTCGTGGGACGAGAAAGGGATTATGGTTCATTATAGACCTCCTCTTTGGTGGGGTTGAGAAAAGGGTATTGGAGTTGGAGAAAGGAGGTTCATTGGGTGTTCAGTGGAGTAGTAGTAGTTTGGTTGGAATCGGACCGAGGTGCTTACTTTTCCGATCTTATGATGTTTCCTAGATTTCTTTTGATGCATTTAACGTGAAAACGAGAACTGAATCCCCTATTTTTTTTCTCTGAAATTTTCTCTGTGAAATTTGTTTTTGTTTTTTCCCTTGTTGAGGGACGAAAGGTTGAAAAAGCCAAAGCAACAAATGTATCTGTTGGCGGTTACACCTGAATTCTCATATATTTTCTTAATTGCCACTGTCTGGTTCCCTCTTTTCTTATAGAAAAAAACTATATGATAATGTTGAATTGTTTTTCCATTGAACAACCGATACTAAGGAGATGGTAAAATTTATGGTAAACTGTCAAAACGACCACTTCAGTTTTAATTTTGTTCACTTTTTGTCACCATTTTTTTTAAAAAAATTACATTTTAATTATTTATGTTATTGGTTTGTCACTTTAATTATATAATTTTAATTTTTTTAAAATATATAATATTTCGACATAAACGTATTTTCTTCTTCTTTTCGTATTGAATTTAATTTCAATACTGTTCTATTTCAAATTCAAATATATTTTGATTATTGATTTAATAATATACTAAATAATTAATTTTATGGATACTATTTACTCAATTTTCGACTTACCCTTTTCTTAGATACTATTTAATTTTATTTCACTCGTATCAATTTAATTTAATATTATTTTTTATTTTATAATTATACTCTTTTTATATTGATTTAGAATCATCTATATTCAAATATGTTGATGAATCACCGCATCCAACGGTTAGTATTTGTTGTATTATTTATTCATTTATTTAAGTGCATACGTAAAGTGATATTAATTATAATCTTATCTTAATGTTCCTTTGTCTGGCTACAAACTTGTGTTGATCCTATTAAAAAAATGCTCATATTCCATTAATTATTAGAAATTAACTAATTTATATACTTAGAGAGTGAGATTCTTTATATGATTGGTGTGTATATATATATAACACAATTATTAAATTATATTTTCAAAAACTAATAATATGTTAATCCAAGAATGAGACACTATAATATTTTAAGTAATATCAAAAATTCAAATTTTGATATTCAAAACTAAAGTAAACTGAGTTGAGAGGATCACTGCAGTAATAATTTATGTAAAATTTGATTTGAAATAATCAAACAATAAACCAAATATCAATAGTTAAAAAATTGTATTTTTCAAAAGATTAAAATGTAAATATTTATCTTATTTAAAATTATTAATTTGAGATGAAGATTCTATATTAATGGACAGCAAATGGATAGCCCTTCTGCTTGGTTCTTATTAGGGATGGGGATGAGACTTAAACCCCATGAGTTTCGACCCGACCTGATTCGATCGGGTTGATTTTTTTTTAATTTTAGGTTTAGGTCGGGTTGGATTCGGGTTTATGGTGAAAAATACCAGACTCGATCCGACCCAGAAAAATATAATTTTATCTTATATATTTATAAATAATTATAATAATACCCCTCTATATATTATTTTTTCAATTAAATCACTGTTCTTATTGAATAAAAATCATATTTTTATTATTTTGGGTCGGGTCGGATCGAATTCAAATTTTGTCTCAACAAATCGAGTCGAGTGAAGGATGTAAAATATTCAGATCAGGTCGGGTTGACCGAAACCCGACCCATGCCCATCCCTAGTTCTTATCCACGACCACCTTTGCCTTTGCTTTCTTACGCAGTTATTTAATTAATAATTTTAAATTTATTACACTTCTTCAATATTTTTATACTGAAATCACATTTTTATTATTAATTTTTTTGTCTATTAAATTTTTAAAAATTTTATGTTCTTGTTGTTAAATCTATCACCGATTAAATTTATTATATAGTAATTATATTTACTACAGCATAACTTTATATATAATTCTAAAAATAATAATAGTTGTAATGAAGAAAAAATAAAAGTGATAATTGAGTACTAAACGTTCTATTTATCCTATAAAAAATAGGATTAAAATGAAATTTCGATTAACATAAAATCTTTAATCGAAACCCTAATTAATCAAAGGGCTCCACTAGTTAGCATGTAATGCAAATAAGCACAAAGCTAAGCTCAATAAGATTACATCGATTTGGAGATTGTAGGGGACCATTAATTCAACTATTGTTAGGAATTTATAAAGGACAAAATGTGGATTATATTTTTTATCCGTGTCGTAAATCGTAAAACTTTCGATCAATAATCAATCCGCTTCGATCCGAACCCGAATTTCAAAAAAAAAAAAAGTAAAAGAATCCTATAGGATAGGGTTAGAACCCAAGGACGGGTTATTTTGCTGACCCTGTACACCTATGATATTTTTACCTGCTACCCTTGTAGAAGTATTCCAGGCATTTCTTCCTAACCCAAGCACGTTTTCTCCGTCCACGGCGAAACCTCGTCTACTTCGGTGTTGAAAACGAAGCTCGGAAACGCCGTCGTTATGTCCCTGCATAATGGTTCGTGTAACGAAATCGGTTTCTAAGTAAGCGAGCTCGGTATAAACATCGGTGTCGCGTACCTCAAGTACGGGAGGGTCATGACTTTCAACAACGATCGGTTTCGGTATGCCAAGGTCTTCCATTCGTTTATGTCTATCTTTCCGTCCCCATCAGTGTCGGCATCCATGAACGTCTGCTCGAAATCACCGAGTCACACCGCGGAGTTAGCGTACAGAATCACCAATGGTACCATGCACAATCGATTCTAGGCAGGCCATAATACAGCAAGCTCTCACCTTATCGAGAATCTCCTCGATGACTTCATCAGATAGCTTCATTTCACAGTCACTTAGAAGCGCAGTCAACATTTGCTTGACCTGACAAAATCACCAGAACGATACATATAATAGCCTGATACACAAGTAACAAAATTACAAGGCCCAACCTACCTCGTAGCGCTCGATAAAACCAGTTCCTTCGCTGTCGTAAAGTTTAAATGCGACTGCAACGTAAAACGACCCGACTTAGAAAAAAGAGACGAAATAGTAGCATAATTCGGATTCGGGGACTGTTTACTTACAGGTCACTTTTTCCTCCCGTGGTGTGTTCGGATGGAAGACGTTGAGTGCTCGAACGAAGTCCGAAAAATCAATGACTCCCTTCTTATCAGCATCGAATAAATCAAAGATCTGCATGTATCAGAAGGTTACATGAGTAAACTGATTCAAATACTTGTTCCCAAGAACACACAATTCCTACATCTCATATCGGTATTGCATTAATGGTTTATAGAAGGAAACCGATATACCGAGTAAACTGCTGACGATGTTAAAGATAGCCGGAAAACGTCCGAACTCGAACGTTTCGATCATAACAAAACAAGATTAAGCTTTTGAATTCTATAGATGGTATTTCTACAAGATAGATGTGATAAACATGCCCTCAAAACAAACTTCAGCAACTCTATCGATAAACATGCATCCGGATCGCCCCGTAGCTAGCACACCGCATGCCCATCGAGCGAAATTTAGACTAGGAAAAGCAACACAAAACTCGAAACTTGGAAGTAATATTCGATTTGCCATAAGAGTATAAAGCAACAAAATACAATACCCTGTCTGCAAAAATGTTTTTCTTGTTGTTTTGAAGCAGAGCTAACTGAAACTCCTCCTGCAGAGCGGCAGAAAACATTAGATGGGCGTCGAATTGTGCACATAACCTTTCGAATTCGACCGAAACGGAACGAAGACAAACTAATAGTAAGTCGTGAGAACTGTGCAAAACATCTCGAGCTCGCACATGATAACATAAGCAGATATGTGATAATTATGTGATAATCCTAGTTCTGGACCACATTAAAGGAAAGCCGAAAGAGCCTGTGGATACCGAGGAATCAAGGAAAGTTCACCTTGCTAATAAGCCCATCGTCAACCAACGAACTGCTGATAATCTTGTATAGCTCAAAGAGTGCTTCGACTTCACTAACACTAACTGCAGATACAACGAAAGACAACCGAGCAGTTAAATCGACCGAATTATCAAATCCGAGCGGATCGCGACGATCCGATATAGTGGTTTTTCTACTCATTTGGCTGAAAGGCTATGCTTCTGAAACCCAGAACAAATTGCATTCACACAAACACATCAGGAACATGCAATGAACAAAAAACTGTAACAATTTGCAGAACTTACAAGCTGTTTCTGCAGCGAGTGTCACCGGGTCATCGCGTTTGATGCTTCGGATTTTCTTCACCTTAGATTGAGAGCAACCCATTTACTGGGGAAAAAAAAGATCAAACATTGAAATCAAAACAAGGACGCAAGCTAAATCACAGTCTCACAGCCTAAAATGAAATGTTTCAACGACGACGACAAGATGAGGAAATAATCACAATTGAATTAAGAATCATAAATCACAAGAATTTTCTAAATGCAATTTGAATTAATCAATCAGACCCCAAACCCAAATCCAAATTAACAACATTAGAATTAATCAATCAATTAAAGAAAAAAAACATAAACCCAGATTACCAATCTTCACAAACGACGAGAAAAAAAAACAAATAAAAACGCAGGGATTTGATAAGCTTACCGACGGAGAATTCGTTTGGTCTGAAGAGAAAAGCGTCGCTTTTAAATGACAGAGGAACGAAGCTTCTGATAGAACTTCAGATTCCTATGTCCTTCCAAAAGGAACGACGAAAACAAGACGAAGATGGATCGATCCAGGGTGAAGGCTGATATAAAGGAAGAAAAGGGCTTTATCGGAATAAAAACGACTTCGACGGCTTAATCCGACAGTTAAAGATCCCATTTTTACGCTGTTGTTGTTATTAATCTTTTTTTTTCTTTTTTTTTTTATCCTTTTTTTGAAACAATTTTTCTTTCGTTTGTTGAATGTCAGAATGTTGGGATGAAACCGAAGAGAATTACGTTTTTGTGTTCGCGCCGTTTTTTAAAATGTTTAGGGTAAACTATACAAATGATCCCCGAATATAAGTTTATGCTTTATTAAGTCATTCGACTATTAAAAGTTACAAAGTTATCCTTTGACTATAGAATGTTGCTTTGTTGAATCCTTCGACTATTAAACGTTACAAAATAATCTCTCAAGTATTCATTGTGTTCCAAACTCATCATTTTTTGTTAAAAAATTGATAACACTCTGAGTTGAACGTTAATCTATTGACTGTGATATGATAAAATATGATCCTAAAATGTCAACCAACTATCATATTTCAGTCACCATGTTAACGTTCAACTTAGACGAACGTCAATTTTTAACGAAAAATGACAAGTTTAAAATATAATGAATAGTCGTGTTACCAGTTTATAACTTTTAATAGTTGACGGACTCAACAAAGCAACACTTTATAGTCAAGGGACTTAATAAAGTAATATCCTATAGCATGAAGACCATTTGTGTATTTTATGCAAATATTTAATAATAAATGCTTTATTAAGAAATAGGGTAAACTGCATGTTTAGTATCTTAATTATCATTTTTGTTTCATTTTGGTCATCTAACTATTTTTTTATTTCAAAATCAATTCCAATGTTACGTCTTGATTTTATTTTGGTCACCCACTATTAGAAAATTAATAATGATATTGATGTGTCATCCTAAGATAATGTCAAATCATTATTGAATTTTTTTAAAATATCACATCAATAATTATATTATATTTTTAACGACGAACGATTGAAATGAAACCACAACATAAGGTTAAATATGAGTTTAAACCTCATCCAACTATTTTTACCCGGTCAAACTTAAATTTTTCCCACCGAATTCTTTAACATAAGACCAGCGGTGATAATTATTTTAACTTTGGGTTAATTCTCCAATTGGGTGGTAATTCCATTAACCTATTCATAAGACTGAATAACAAATGTAAACTTGAATATAGCATGAAACATATTCAAAACACATTATATATATACATATTAACTATTTAAATTTGATTTATTAAAATTTAAAGAATAATTTAAAATTTGGGTGAACTACAAAAATGGTTCCTTTCGTTTGAGTTTTATAAACTTTTCCCAATTGAATTAAAAAAAAAGATTTGATCATTTTCATTTCGTTTTAATTAAGATGTGGTCACTGAAGCTTAACAGTCATTAAACCTTCAACGATTTACTGACGTGTCACGATAAATATATAAAATTAAAATCACATCATTTCCATGTTGATGATACATGGATTAAGTTTTAGTCACTTTCCATTCATATTTTTACACTTTTGCTCACTAAATTTAAAAACATAAGTTTTGGTCACCTACATTATCGTTTTATTAAGTTTTGATCATTCACGTTATCGTTTTATTAAGTTTTAGTCACTTGGACGTTGAATGCCATTAGTTTTATGATGTGACCCGTTAGTAAAATGATTTAATTTTGATTTTAAACCCTACACTTTAGACAAAATACTGATAATGAGTCTTTTTGTAAATTCAAATTAGTTTAGGGATACCATTTCAATTTATCCATTTTTAATAGGTTTTCTTTCCAACCTCATTGTTGTTCATCTTCTCCTTGATTCTTTTTCAGACATCTCTACTCCATTGCTTCATTTGCCTTCTTTCAAGGACTCATGCTTCATTTCAAGAATAATAAAAGATTCTCAACTTCCGATAACAAATAATAACACTACAAGTTCATAGAAAAATGAGAGGGTAGACACTTAGAGATAAAATGAAGTTGGGTAATCTTAGTTATACAAACTAAAATTCAATTTCCAAAGAGGGTAGACAAATCAATGGATCCAAATAACCTGATAACTAGATATCACTCTTCGTTGCGCTTTTCCCTTGAGAAAGTGCCTCCAGTGAAACATAATCAATGGACCAAATAACCGGTAACTGGATCTATCCTCTAAACTCAATCCAAAACCAAGGATCTTCAACGTCGAATCTTTTTTTTGCTCAAGAACAAACAATTTTTCGATTCTAGATCCCTATGAATCACTGTTACCCTATACGGCCTGTGCAATTTGTCGGTCCACCGCCACTACATCGGTCTTCGAGTACCTCATTTTTGGGACGATCCAATCGAACAACTCATTGCCAAAGTAGAGCTTCAGTACTAAGTGAACGCTAGTTTGATCTTAGTAAACGTCGTGGAGGTCAATCTTAAACGTCGTGGAGGTCGATCATGTTCAGATACGACGAAACGTTATATACGATCTTTCTCATAACAAAGAATTTGTTGGTCAACAAGAAGTCAGAGATGGAAATCTAGTACTGTGTCGTCAATAACTATGCCATCGAAGAAGCTCTAGTTTTCTCGGTTCGAGGTGGTGGCATCGTGGTGGTGGTGAATCTTTTTAGAGTTTTAATGGCGAATTCTCTATCATTTTCACGATCTTCGTTATTTTTTTATACCTTTTCTTACAACTGAGAACCCGCCACCTAGTTTGACTTCAAGTAATTACAACTAATAATTAGAAACAATAAGTCTATTGCAGTGGAACATAAATGTTTGAAGAAGAAACAAGGAGAAGATGAGCAGTATTAGGGGTGAGGGAGAAAATATTAAAAATGGGTAAATGATAATGTTGTCCCTAAACTAATTGGAATTTATAAAAGACCCATAATTAGTATTTGTCTAAAGTGTAATGGTTAAAATTAAATAATTTTACTAACGGGTCACGTCGTCAAACTAACGACATTCAACATCCAAGTGACCACAACTTAATAAAACGACAACGTAAGTGGCCAAAACTTAATAAAACAGTAATATAAGTGATCAAAACTTAATAAAACGATAACGTAAGTGGCTAAAACTTATATATTTTTTAAATTAAGTGAGCAAAAGTGTACAAATATGAAAGGAAAATGACCAAAACTTAATCCATGTATTATCTATGTACAAATATGAAAGGAAAGTGTACAAATATTTACCGCACCATATCAGCAAACCGTTAAAGGTTTAACAGTCGTTAACCTTCAGTGACCGCATCTTAATTAAAACAAAATGAAAGTGACCAAATCTTATGTTTTTTGAATTCAGTGAGGAAAAATTTATAAAACTCAAATGAAAGTGACCATTTAAATAGTTTACCCTTTAAAATTTTGAATCATAATTTGAAAAACTTTTTGACTAAGTTCAAATACCTAATTGAACAAAAAAAAAGATACTAAATTTAACCTGGAGACCAAGTTCAGGCACTAAAATGTATATTTACACAAAATTAGAGTATTGGGATTAAGTATCGAATTTGAGCATAATGGAGGGGGCCAACACCATAATTTAACCATTGATAGTAGACATTGACTTGGAGGCTTACCCTCAACCAAGGGGAATGTCTCAGGAAAGACGGGTTAATATACGGCTAATATACAGCATTACCGGATACATTAAAATGTATTTAATAAATTCGGTTTAGCGGTACCTATTATGTTGACAACTAATAATGTTTTAGGTAGAAAATATGAAAAACTATTAAAAAATTTGGTAACCGGTAAACTTTGGTTATCGGTAAGTATCTATCCTTTTTATAAAAGTGTCCATACTTTTAACATATCAAGTAAATTTTACCGGTTTTGTCATAATGAATCTGATTTTGTCATATTTTTACCTGTTATATTGTAAATTATCTATCCTTTTTATAAAAGTGTCCATACTTATTTCACTGTGAAAATATATTTATTATTATCTTTAGTTAATATTGTTAAATTTAAAATCTAAATAATATATTTTATAAAATATCAAAACAATCAAATAATTTTTTGTGTAAATGAAATTATTAAATTAATATTGTAGGTGGAAAACATGAAACACTGTTAAAAAAATTGAAACATAAATTACATAACTTTTAAAAAAAAGTATCGATCATTTTTATAAAAAGTATGGACACTTTCAATATAATAGGTAAACATATGATGTAATAGGTAGCGCTTATATAATGTAATAGGTATCGTTTATATAATGTAATAGGTAGTGGTTATATTGTAAAGTGTCTATCCTTTTTATAAAAGTGTCCATACTTTTTTCACTGTGGAAAACATTAATTTAATGTTATCTTTTGAGTGAGTTTTAAGATATTAATTTAGTAATTATAGGCGTCTAATGATTTTATTTTTTTCGTTACGATATATATTATTATTAAATTAAAAATTCTAAATATTATTTTATAAAATATCAAAACAATCAAATAATTTTTTGTGCAAAATAAATTATTAAATTAATATTGTAGGTGGAAAACATGAAACACTATTAAAAAAATTGAAACATAAATTACATAACTTTAAAAGAAGTATCGATCCTTTTTATAAAAAGTATGGACACTTTCAATATAATATAATGTAATAGGTAAATTTACAATGCTATCGGTATAAATATACCGGTTTACTTATAAAATAGGTAAATATAAGCGCTACCTATTACATTATATAAGCGCTACCTAGTATGTTATTGTACTTTATAATATTTCCAGTTAAATAATATAATATAACCGGTCTAAATTTTAACCGATCACTTGTTTAACCGGTCACACCGTATATTTGCCGTTTTTTAAGCCCTGCACCGCATAACTACCCTCAATCAAGTAGAAAAAAAAGTGTGTACTGGTAGTAGTTGATGAATAAATAATAATCAATCCTTGATGAGTACTTCTCCTCAGATTCTCCCCTGTT